ACTAAAAAAAAAAAAAAAAAAAAAAAGAGCTATACAAGGTTTTTTATGGTGCATGATAGGAAAATGTAAATTAAAATTTTATTTATAAAAAGATACAGAATTATGAACAACACTTTGTAAAATTTTGTTTATCTTTAGAGAAATGAGGGTTTTTGGTTATTTCTTCATTTATTTACGAAAGTCTTTTTTGAAAAAAAAAAAAGAAAAGAAAAGAAAAGAGGTTGAGGTTTTGAGGGAGCCTTTTTGACGAGGCACACTTTTCTAAAGCACTGTTTGGTGATTTGTTAAAGTTGTATTGTTTACAGACGTTGAGGTTAGTTGGGGGAACTTTGGTTTGTCTAAGAAAGCACAATAACTTTGAGGAGCCTATGCCAACCAGATATAGGTCTTTTAGGTTGTCACTTGGAATAAGAAAGTAGAATTCTTCTGGCAAGTAGGTACTGTGTCTTCTTAGGGGGCTTTTATTAAATTCGAAGAATGGGATTAAGAGTCCTTTAGTGAATTTCTGTTATTCCTAACCGTTGAGGCTGGATTAAAATTTCATAATCTTCCATAACTCTAGGAAGGAGGGTTTGCAATCCTTATGGGAATGCATGTGAGGATTTCGTTTGTTGTACCATAAATTCTTGAATTGAACTGAACTGAACTGAAGTTATGGGAGATATTATTGAAGTCAAAAGATTATCTTGGGTTTCTGCCAGCAGCATTCACTTGCTAATCTTGGATTCAGTTTATGTTCCTAAGTCCTTTGATGAATCTAGACTTCTAATGAACTGCAAAGTTCAAATTCATGAATGCTTCAATTAGAAAGTTGTAATTATGTACTTTCCGGATGGTGACTCCCTTTGTCCAGCAAAGAAAACAAAGATGTAGTTGTTAGGCCATAGACGTGTTCAAATTTTTAAGCTGCAGTGCGGGAGAAAGATAGAATCGTTGGAGACGTAGAAACCACCAAATCCATTATCTTCAGTGCAGTGAATGGTGCTATAATAAGACAAAATTTCCCTATATTTTTGGTATATGCCTACTCTGCTCTCAATTAAGTTAACCTAAACTAAGATAGATTGACAGGTCAAATTTTATAATTAAAAACTTTGCCCCCAGCATTATGAAGTAATACTAAGTACAAATATCCATTAAGATAATCTCGTTCTGATATTCAACGAACATGTTTTTAAATTATTGTCCATATTTTCAATATAGAACAATTCTTGTTAAATTGGTTATCTTAACGATACATTTCTTTTTTCATATTTCAAAAAAATTAATTTCTTATGGTTACCCTCCTTTCAGTATACCTAAACTCTCCTTTATTTCTTCAATGTAAAGAACTGAATATTGGTAAACCTTTATTGAAGGAGTCTCTTGTTTGAGCTGGTTGGTGATGGCTCCTTCTGGAAAATTTTCTTTTCCGTTGAAGAGTATTTTTGACGAAAATTCTTCCTCTTGTGGTTTGTATGATAGCAGGACAGCTTCAGCTTCTGGGAGAAGGGAGTCGTGACAAGAGCTTTGTGACTTGTTAGGACTTTATAACAATCCTTAGTGCATTAGTGGGAATTTAAATATAGTTAGATGAGTTTATAAGAAGTTTGTTGAANGGGGGGGGGGGGGGGGGGGGGGGGGGTTCTGGTGCACTGTTATTTGTGCTGATTGATTTTATTGTAAGCTCAAAGGTTTTATGGTTTGTTTTGATCTTTTGTTTTATTGGCTTTTAGTTTGGTTTCTTCTTTGTCGAATTAACTGCCATTTGACTTTTCATTTTATCAATGAAAAGTTCCTTCTTCTTTTATTTGTTTGAAATGAAGTTTACCTGCTAGCACAGGACATATGAAAAAGTTTAACAAGCTTGTCCCCGAGCTCTCTCTCAATGATATTCCCCTGTCAAATGAATGCCCTTCAAAAGTAAAAATTTCTGGTTTCATCATTATGGTCTTCGCACATTCATCAAGAATATGTGTGTGTGTGTGGGTGGGGGGGGGGGGG